CCCCCCCCCCCCCGGTTGTTAAGGTCATGTTCACATTTTAGTAAAGATCGATAAGAAATAGCAGACAGCACAGCTTGGACTTAAGTAGTTCAAGTAGGAGTTGGCAGCCAAGTGGTGCATAAAGGGCGTCTGCGTGGTGGAGTTGAAGGGAAGGCTGATTTGAGTGATTGAATGGGAGCCAGGCCACCAGTGACGCAGGAGTGCTTCCTGATGGCCAGTGGCGGCATTCGCATCCCATCCGCGCAGAGGAGCCTGATCTGGTTCTGCGACATTTTCTTACGTTACGTTTACTCTTATTGTTTTTCTTTTTAAAGGTGCTAGTCCTTGGAAACAAGAGAGATCTTCCTAATGCCTTGGATGAGAAACAGCTCATTGAAAAAATGTATGTCTTACGAGGGAACGGTGGGGTCTGTGTGTAATTGGCTCTGAATTGCACTGTTCTGCCCACCACTTTGTTTAGCATAATTTCTTTGGCTTAATAATAAAAAACAAGAAAAACCAAGCAGAGTGCTAAGTGTGACAGCTGTTTTAAGCACAGACTCACTTCCTGATTCTGCTTCTTCTAGGAACCTGTCCGCTATTCAGGACAGAGAAATTTGCTGCTATTCAATTTCCTGCAAAGAGAAGGATAATATAGGTAAGGGGTGTTTCGGAAGGAGGGGCTGCCGCCGGAGGGCATCTGGTGGTGGTTCTGGTCACACACACACATCCCGCTCAGCGACCGCCTTTACCACATACTGTTGCGTTGGCTCAGGAAAGAGAGGATATTGTACCTCTGACGACAGATGCCACATTCTGGTCTGTGCTGCACTGTTTAATGAGGCAGGTGCAGTAGACACACGGAGTTAGGCAAATGGGATATCTATTTATCGTGTTAATTTTCACAGAACTAGTACCCAGCTGTGCTTTATACCACAATGGCATTCTTGAAATAAAGCTACAAAAATTGGTCCATAGGCATGAAAACATGTTTTCATCTATGGAGCCAGTATATTACTGCATTTTGTTACCACTCCGTTGGACGTATAAACCCAAGATACCCTTTATCTACCTAATGCCTGTATTGGTGTCCTAGGTCTGCCGTGGCAAAGTACCACAAACAGTGGCTGAAAACAAATTCATTCTCTCGGGTTCAGGAGGCTAGATATCCGAAACCCAGGTGTGGGCAGGGTGGGGCTGTGCCCTCGGAAGGCTCTAGGGGAGGGCCCACCTTCTTAGCCCTGATGGCTGCCTGCAATCTTGGGCAGTCCTGGTCTTGTAGATGCAGCACGGGCTCATGCCTCTGGCTTCTCGTGGCCTCCGCGTGTCTGCTTTCTCTTCTTTTTTTCTAATATGTATTTATTGATTTCAGAGAGGAAGGGAAAGGGAGGTAGAAACATCAATGATGAGAGTCATTGATCGGCTGCCTCCTGCACACCCCCCACTGGGGATGGAGCCGCAACCTGGGCATGTGCCCTGACCGGGAATCGAACCGTGATCTCCAGGTTCATGGGTTGATGTTCAACCACTGAGCCATACTGGCCGGGCTGTCCTGCCTCTCATTTGCTTCCTCTCCATCCCCACAGCCCTTGGCTTGCTGGGGCCCTTCATCACCATCCTGTTCCCATTGACAGTCTAGACTGGCAGCCCTCCAGGTCGTCCTCTCGTTGCCATTGTTGATCTTACTAAATAAACTGATAGGATTTCCCTGCTTAAATTCTCCAATAACTTTCTATTGACTTGAGAATAAATACCAAATTTCTTAGCATCTTAGAGGGGCGTACAAGGTTATCTAGCTCCCTGAGGACAGTGTTGCTCCCCAGAGGACATTTGGCAGTGTCTAGAGACATCATTGGTTTTCACAGCTGAGGGGGGTTGGTAATGGCATCTGTTGGTAAAGGTCGTGGGAGTTGCAGAAGGTTCTCCCTTCTTCCCAAAGAAGAGTTAACCAGCCCAAATGGCAAGGACTGAGGCCGAGAACCCCTGTGCTAGCCTTGGCGATGGGGCGCCCCTGCCCTGCCCCTCTGCCTCAGCCACTTACAGTTCACCCAGAGCTCACACTGTTTCACCTGGCACCCTGTGGGGCAGCCCCCAGCTCCAAATGGTTACTCATATGTTTTCCTACTGCAATACTAACAGCTCCTTGAGGGCAGGGGCTTCTCCATGTCAGCAGTCCTGGCACCTCACATGCAGTGCCCAGTTGTGTAGGCAGGCGGTGAGTTCCTGAATGAGTAGAAGACAGCACCGCTGTTCTTTATAGTTTCACTTTTAGATCAGACTGTTGGGTCCCGTAGCTCCTCGGGTGGGCCTGTGGGGCTCAGGTGACAGGAGCGCAGTCCAGGTGCAGCAGAGCAGAAGGGGCGGGCCCGGCATGTGCTTTGAATTAGCTGCACTTTAGATCTTCTCTCTGGTGTTTAGTTTCTTAACTGCGGTGTCTTAACGCCTTTTTTCTCTCCATCTTTAGATATCACACTTCAGTGGCTTATTCAACATTCAAAGTCTAGAAGAAGCTGAGAAGCGTCTCCTGAGTCTTCAGGTCCTCCTGGCTATCATCCCAGAATTACTGTCCGTTCCTCTGAGCCCTTCCCGGAACATGGTCCTTCCTACACCCAGAAACTGCCTTTTTCAGAGTTTATTTCTCCTGTGCGCTGCTGAAGACGTGTGTCCCTCACCCTCCATAAGAACCAGCTAGAGCTGTCCTGATACAGTCAGCACACACAAGGCTTCTTACACATACGCGTCTTAACCGTGTGTAGAGCTTTTTTAAAAAACATACTTTTGACCATCAAATCAAGAAAATCGCATACTTCTTTCTGGGCCAGATTTTTATATTGGTTTTCGGTAAATGTCTCTCTGATCTTTCATTCTAAAGTCTGGTAGCTTAGCACAGACACTGACTTGATACAGCATGAAGTCCCAGTGCCACACACAGTATTTAGAAAACCTTTAGCCTGACCCACGTGGGGTGTAGACGTGACGTTTACACGTCCCACAAATGCATGTGAAATGTGTAGCTACACCCTAGGGATTTAACACGGCCTGCAGAGACGGGCAGAGGCGCCAGATCTGCGCTGCCGTGGTCCTGTACATGGGGGTCCTCCGCGGAGGATGTTTAGGACATTCTGCTTGCTGAGAACTGCACCCCAGAGGGCAGCCGCCCGGGGGCTAAGGCATGCTCTTCCGAATCTGTCCAGATCGTTACTTCTCTACTTTTTTTTTTTTTTGCTGGTTCAGCACACTTTTTTAAGGGGTTGGGAATTGAAGATTTTCTCAAAAGCTTTCATGAATTTAGAGCGTTCCAGCCGATGTAATAAAACGTGTTAAGAACGTCACACTTGTCCTTTCTCTCCATCACTGTACCAGTGCAGCTGCTCCACACTTAGCTCCCAACTTTTATATCCAGTCAAACTTGACTTTCAGCACAATAGACACAACAGGAGACTTTCATTTCTCTCATTGGTTTAAGGGTTGGCACCCTTGTGCCTGGTGCCACTAGACACCTTGATTCTTGTGACAACTCTAGACCTGCCTGCTTCTCTAACGTAATGGTGCGGGACGCCTGCAGGAAACTTAAAGGACCCTGTTTTGTAGCGTAGCGACCTCCATGTCCCTACAGGGATGTGCTGCTGCTGGTGCCCACAGGCCACTCGCGGGCGGAACCGGCTCGCCTGCTCCGTGGCCTCACACTGCGCGTGGCTTCTCATCAGCAGTGCTCACGTGAACAGTGCATCCCCCCGAGGGCGGGGCTGGTAGTGCCGTCAGCAGTAGGCCCTTTAAGGAAAACCGGTTTTAATTGTAGCCTGCCACGGCCTTACCCACGTTTGGTATGAGTACTGCGCTGTGGGCCCAGTGACACGGCTCATTGTCTCCAGCCATGTTTTTACAAGTAGAATCTCTCTGCTTTCAATCCTGTTTGAAGCATGTTGCATACTCCCTGCTGGGGCGGGCGGTTCTGTAAATCGAGGGGCAGTTAAACTTGCTGCTGTGCGTCAACACCAGGAGCGGTCACTGAACCATTGCAAAGTGGCAGTTTCCTTGTGCCTAAAAGGAGGCTTGGGGACGGGTGCGTGACTCAGGACCGCCTAGGCCCTGGACTGACCTGTAGCTGAACCTTAATGTGTCTGTGTCCGTCCATTGCTCTCAGCATTTCAGGACATGCAGACACTGCTACCAACATTCACCTGTGTGTTAACCTGCATGTGAAAACCTGACAGTTACTGAACTTTGTAAATAGGTGACTTTTTTATTTAGGTGGATGCGCCTTTCGTCTGTTTACCACTCTTCTCAGCTTTATTCAATAAACTTGCATTTTGAGGGTTGTGTTGACAATTTTAACTTAAACTGTGCTTCATGCTGGAAGGTGCTGACTTTTGGGGGAGGGATGACCAGGTGATTCCTGTGAGCGGGGTCCACAGATCGTGTGCAGGAGAGAGACTAGCTGAGCTCTCAAAGAACTGGCCTGTGGGCTAAAGGAGAAATAAACTGTTACATGTCCCCACAACTGACTGTGGTGTGTGTTTTTGAGGGTGCCGGAGACGCTGGTGCTTGCACACCTTCATGACACACCAAGCTTAGGACTGTACAGTGGCAAGAGCTCATTAAGCGTCTTATGCTCCAGTTCTAAAAATGATGAAATTATTAGTAAGCTGAAATCGCAAGGCCTCCCTATTCCGCTCCAGAGTGAAGAGATTTAATATGAAACGAGTGGTATCCCCACGAAGGCACATTTTAAAGTGAAGTGTTTGGCCCGTTTCGCTGGCACGTTGCCTTTTGCACTGAGCGTTTATCTCATCCAAGCTCTCAGAAGCTCCGTGTTGAGGTCAGCGTGGCTTTTCCTCACATCTGCACTGTCCGTCCAACAAACCTTGTTGGCCAGTTGGACATGCAGTTCAGCTTCTCTAGGACAGACGTCCCCGGGATGTCGGGTTAAAAGTCTTTTACTGGATTGATGGAGCCATTTAGTGAAGCAGTTCAGGTCTCTTCTCACCACTCCCATCCAAGTGATTTTTGGCGAGAGTGTGAGTTGGGGGGGCGCGAGTGGAGGTACAAAGTTAGTTTACTTGCCCCGGCTGGTTTGGCTCAGTGATTACAGCGTCGGCCTGCAGACTGAAGGGTCCCGGGTTTGATTCCGACCAAGGGCACGTGCCTGGGTTGCAGGCTCGATCCCCAGCCCCGTCGGGGCACGTGCGGGAGGCAGCCAGTCGATGTGTCTCCCATACAGATGTTCCTCCCTCCCTCTCTCAAAAGCAATGGAAAAAATATCCTCAGGTGAGGATTTAAAAAAAAAAGAAACTTGCTTTGCCCTTGATTCTAAGTTTATATCTGCTTCAAAAGTTGAGACTTCCAAAGCAGTCCCCTCAGTTGTGCCAGGTGAACTGATGTGCTGGACTGGGCCCACCTGAGTGCCCCTTGTTTTGACTGAGGGACTAACAGCCGTGTGGCTCTAGAATAGGATCCATCTGGGACCTCGTTGCCCTACAGCCCCGCTGGGCCCGGCGCGCAGGGCCTGGGGCGAGGCGGGACTGTGGCAAGCACCGTAGCTGGAGCAGCCAGTCGGCCGAGTGAGTGGCTTGAAATTTGCTATTGCGGGGAAGCTGCCACATTTGGGATTTAGAGTATTTTCATTCGGTTACAAACTTTAAAGGTGGTGCCCTCGACAGCACAGGTCAGTGCAGATACCAGAAAAGGAAGCCGGCGAAGCAAACTCCAGCCCGCAGGCCGCCCTTGACCCGGCAGCGCCCGCAGGTGCTTCCTGCTGATGGTGAACATCCTCGGCGCAACTTGTGTTCCACATCCAGCTGTTAACGAGAAAGGGTGGGTCCCTTTGCGACGCTGCCCTGCACGTTAGGGAAGCGGAGGAGGCGGGGGACGCTGGGGAAAGGCCCCGGCAGTCCTGTAACCTGGCACCAGGGGCCACTCTTCCCTGCCACCGCCGCCCCTGCCCTTAGGGCGGTTCCGCTGGAGAACCTCACGGTGGCGGCCATTTAGGTGACTCAGGTTTCCCGCAGGAATGGGAGCGGGAAGGTACCTTAGCCTCGCTCTTACTGGGCTGTCGGTGAAAGGAAGGGGTGTGGTAGGTAGAGAAGTGTCCTTCGGAAAGGTTAACGTAGCCTGTTCTGTCTGCGAGCCTTGGGAGAAGGGGTTCTTGTCTGCTGTGAACTGGTGACTTGCTGAGCCCCTCGCCGGTCCGTAGTTTTCCCACCTACTAAGTGGCGAGTGCTGGGTTTCCGACATAATTCTCCCACTAACGGGCTGTGGTTTTAGCAGCCTAGAAATTTGTTGTTGAAATAGAAACGAAACGCCCACTTACCCTTTTCTGTTTCTTCCACTTGAAAACAATCCAAAACAGAAATGTCTACATTTTATAGCTACATTTTAACATAGTTAAGTGCTGGAGATCACAGGCATTTTGCAAAACGATACAATCACTTACATTTTATTTGAAGGAAACGCTACAGGGGCTTATGTTTCGAAAGCCATTTAAAAATTTTAAAGCGTTTTCTCCCAGTCGGCAGAACTGTATATTGGTACACAATGTGGGAAATATATACCGGTTTGGGGGTAAATGGCTTAGAGCTAATGTTTAGCACTTTATAGCCGCTGTGTTGCTAGGTTCTGCTCGAATTTATTTGGAGTTTGGAGGAACCTGGAGCAGTTTCTAGAAGCTACTTCCTTTCAAAGTAATGAGGGTGGGGAAGGGGGGTGACGACAAAACCAATGTTTCTCTTTTGGACGTGGGATGGGAAGTAGAATGAAAGGTTGCTAATGGTAGCGTCTCCTCCAGCCAACTCTTCTGTCGCCCTAGAGGGGCTCTGGGCCCTCAGCCTCGTAACCCTGTATCACCGACTCGCTACATTTTAAGAGAGCCCATCATTTCCAGTCACCAGCCTGGGAATTAGATGTCTCCGTTTTCTGTTGGCATCAGTCTCGAGGAGAAAGGCATGGCTGCGATGTGTCATAGCCCTAGCTAGTTTATGAAAGCACGGGCTCTCCTCACCCTTCAAAGAAGGGACAGAACCTGTACAATTCCTACTTTTCTCTGGAAGCACCAGTTGCCGCGTCCTCTCCCAACCGTGTCGTCTGACAAAACCCGGACGTGGAGAGGAAGCTTCAAGGACGGCGTCGTCTGGGGAGAGGACATGGCCTGTGGGTGGGAGGAACTGGCGTAATGGGAATATCTCCTCTCCTCCTTGGAGGGGGATTTTGGGCCATAAATCAATAACTAACCTGGGAAGGGTAAACAGTGTTCTCACTTCTGAAGAAACCCCGATTTCCCCAAGTCCAGTCACTATCACATGTCCGGATGCTTTAACAAATTGTCATTAGAAGAAGCTAGGAAAACTCCCCTTGGCGCCCCAATAAGGAATCTATGGAGGAACTAGAGAAAGCTGAGCTCACACAGCCGCCGATCCTCCAGTGCCCCGCCTATGACTGCAAGGTTGGTCAAGGACAGGAAAAAGGCCATCGCCCCTCGCCTACTGCACAGGGACCACCCTGGGTAGCACATAGAATACATGGCAGATTGTGGCATCCCCCTAACGGGGCTAATACTATGAAAAGGCCAGCAGGCCCTCCTCTGCCTTACACAGGTGCTTCCAATGAGAGCGGTATCAGAGCAGTTACTGTAAACGGAAGGCACGGTCAGTGTGAGAACCTGCCCTCCAGGAAACGCTCGGCAAGGCGGCGGCCACGCCGGTGCTCGCTCCCAAAGAAACAAAAGCAAAGCATTCTTAAGCAGTTAATCCATAGCTATGGCAAAAAGCACTCTTTTCCTAGAAGAAAATGGCAAGAAGAATATTATAGCTTAAGAATAGGTCCATAGTTAAAATATAACCACAAGAAGTAGTAACCACAGGCAAATAGTATATAAAATTTCTGTCTCACAGGCTAATATACTCCTGCTGCAAACAAAGCCGCATCTATCACTCTATAGGTCACTGATTTTTCCTTTCTCCTCTAGTCTAAAAAATAAAAGTCAAAATTGTTCCGTTCTGATGAAATAGAAACTTGTATTGTTTAACCTGTGAATATTTCTTGCTTGCTAACCGAAAAAATGGAATCGTAGCCAAAAAAGAAAGTATAAAAGATTATGTTGATTCTCAATAAAGTGGAACAGTGTCACACCGCCTCCGAGTCGTGTAGTCTGTCTCCCAGCGCCGACGCCTTGCCCGCCTTCGGCACCCGACTCCCGCTGCGGCTGGGCCGTGGCAGCCAATAACCTGAGGGCACATGGCATATGGGTCGTGAATGTCAGCTTTTTGTTTTGTTTTTAAAATATGTCTTGATCCATTTCAGGGAGAGAGAGAGAGAAACATCAATGATGAGAGAAACCCTGACCTGCTGCCTCCCATTTGGGCCCCAAATTTGCAATCCAATAGCTTAGTTCGGACATAGTACAACACAGCCTGACACTCACATCCAGCCTACAAGCCCCGGGGAGGCAGAGCCGCACGTTCAGGACCCAGCGCGGAGGCTGGCCTTGCGGTCGGGGGCCCGGTGCCTTTCCCAGAGGAGAAAAAGAGACGCTGGCTCAGGCTCTTTTCATACTGTTAATGCTTGGGCAAGACGGGGGAGTAAGGCTCGGTCCACAAAACGGGCCTCCCTGTGGGGGAGGGCCTTGTGCTGTAATCTCCTTTCTTTGGGCTCCTTTTCAGCCCCCTGACATGGAGGGACCTGGAGAGGATGCTACTGAGGGAAATACGCCAGTCAGAGGACGACAAGTGCCACATGACCTCACTCCTGTGGAATCTAATGAACAAAATAAACTCGAACAAAATAGATCCAGAGACGCGGAAGCAGGGAACAGACAGGATCTCAGAGGGGAGGCGGGGACCAGCCAGACTTCATATGAATAAATGCGTAACCCAGGGACACAGACAGCGTGGTGACGGCCTTGGTGGGGGTGGGGAGTGGAGGGGGCCAAGGGGAAGTAAAAGGGGGGACATCTGTAATACTTTCAACGATAAAGATAAATTTAAAAAAAAAAAGTCTTCTATATCATTAAAAAAAAAAAGTCCCCTGACCCTGACAATGTGAGGAGTGAGCCCCATGACAACTTTATCAGACTCTTAGTCACTCCCGGGGTCCCTCCGCCAGCCTCTGATCTGGGCCTCGCATCAGACCTTGCCTCCCAAGCTTTTCAGGGAACCTCGGCATAACAGGCACACGGTCTAATTTTGGAGGGCAAACCTTAGCAGATGTTTCTAAATGCAGCCAACAGAAGACAAAAACCCCCGGCTGAATCACTACCTGAAAGCCACAGCCCTTCAGAGCCAGCCTGTGTGACCTGCTGAATTAGAGGAAGTAGATACAGGGGGTAAAGTGGGCTGACCAGGAATCTAGCCCACACCACACACCCCCAGCTCTTTTTTTAAAAATTGATTTGAAGAAACAGAGAGAGAGAGATGGGTCTGCTGTTCCACACTTACTTATGCACTTGGTCGATTCTTGTATGTGGCCTGGCTGGATGGAGCCCTCAACCTTGGCCTAGGAGGAGGAGCT